GTAAGCTATGCCTTAAGAACACCGGGTTACACTGCACTCATGGGTGCGCCTACCTAGAGAATCACTGGGTTACTCTGCACTCTTGGGTGCGCCACCTAAAGTGCAGCCTATGTTTGTTAGCTATACCTTAAGAATTGCTAGGTTACACTGCACTCATGGGTGTGCCTACCTAGCGATTCACTGGGTTACTCTGCACTCATGGGTGCGCCACCTAAAGTGCAGCCTATGTTTGTTAGCTATACCGCTTAAGAATTACTAGGTTACACTGTAGTTATGGGTGCGCCACCTAAAGTACAGCCTATGTTTGTTAGCTCTACCTACAGAATCACTAGGTTCACCTTAGGTGGCGCACCCATGAGTACAGCATGGTGTACAGCCCATTTTTGTAAGCTCTACCTAAAGAATCACTGGGTTACACTGCACTCATGGGTGCGCCACCTAAAGTGCAGCCTATGTTTGTTAGCTCTGCCTAAAGAATCACTGGGTTACACTGCACTCATGGGTGCGCCACCTAAAGTACAGCCTGTTTTTGTAAGCTCTATCTAAAGAATCACTGGGTTACACTAGACTTATGGGTGCGCCACCTAAAGTGCGGCCTAAGTTTGTTAGCTCTACCTAAAGAATCACTGCGTTATACTACACTCATGGGTGCGCCACCTTAAGTGCAGCCTATGTTTGTTAGCTCTACCTAACGAATCACTGGGTTACACTGTACTCACGGGGCCTAAAGCTCGCGTTTGGCTCGCCCTCTCTTCAAAGAAAGAAGCTGCAGTCCGTTTTGCCAAAAATCAAGCTTTGTTTTCCCTAAATGTTACACCATATTTTGCCCCAAAAGACGTTAAAAATTTCTCCATAATAGAAGAGTTTTTTGCTAGGGTTAAACAAGTTTGGCTTTCATGAGTTCCAATACAAAGGTGCAAAGCTCTGCAAGAAAATATCAACATAATTACATAGCACACAAACATTGTCATCTAACTCCTCGCACGTAGCCGGAATAAGCCAAGTAATGAAGCGTATAACGAAAAATCGTCCTCAAATGGTCTCGATAACTAAATTATACTTAATTTTGCGAAAGAAACTTTTGTTTGTATCCGTGTTACCCTTCGAAAAAGCGAGGAGTTATCGCATAATATTAGGTATAACAGAGGTAATACTCACGGGTTTCACGAGCTCTATGCACTATTATTCGCTAGGAAACAAACTTCAATTCTTACCTTACAGTTGTCGGTTCTTTTACCTTGCATTCGACAACAAATTAAAGGCGAACAAAGCGATGAAATCCGGCGCTCTTCTCTTATAAATAGCAAGCTGCACGAAGTTAAGTCCACCGATATGCACTGCATTCTCACTACAAATATAAACAAATGTCGTGGAGAAAAAAGGACGAGGAGGAAAGAATGCCAGATCTTCGCCTCGCCAATGTATTCCAGCTACCAAGCCGGCGTATCTCCAGAAGGTGGACTCCAAAAGATATAAATTACAAACTCGCAACGTTTAATGACACTTTTCTTTCCACACTGGACGCTCATGCACCAGTTAAGTCGATCAGAATTCGCAGTCGTTCCTGCCCTTACGTAACACCTGAAATTAAGGATCAGATGACCTTTAGAGATCAGCTCTTTCGTCGTTACCGACAAAGCCGAAATGCAGACGCCTGGAAGGCCTACAAGGAAGCCCGGAGATCTGTAAAACAACTTCTTAAGAGTGCCGAGTGTGACCACATCCGCACAGAGGTCCGATCACACAAAGATAACCCTGGATCTCTATGGAAAATAATCAATTATAATTGTATTCCATCCAAAGAAAAAAAAAAACCAGTCTATAGTAGAGACACTGAGCTAGTTGTAACGATTTCAACCAATTTTTCTACTCTGTTGGGAGAAACGCTGCTCAAACTGCTGCACAGTTGGCCATAGACAACACCCGGGAGACAACAACATCAATATCTCAGATACAAGCCTAATTTCACCACCAATGACCCGAAACTCATCCGAGGAACTATTCAATTTCACACGTGTTACCTGTACGCAGGTCGAACGTATTGTATCCTCGATCTATGCCTTCTAATAAGTCTCCTGGCCCCGACAAAGTCAGCATGCGCATCATCAAAGACTGCCTTCCTGTTATCTTGGCCCTTTGACAGACATCATCAACTGTTCTTTCGCAACTTCTACTTTTCCAAACTCCTGGAAAGCATCTGAAATCATACCACTACTGAAAGACGGAGACCACGAGGAGCCATCAAATAATCGCCCACTTTCAATGCTTGCCGTTGCTTCAAAGATCTGCGAGAAAGTAGCACTCCAACAGTTCAGCAATTATTTACAACGTAACGGCCTCCTTAGTACTCTACAGAGACGTGCGTGCGTGCGTGCGTGCTTAAGTAAGTAAGTAAGTAAGTAAGTAAAGTAAGTAAGTAAGTAAGTAAGTAAGTAAGTAAGTAAAGTAAGTGAGTAAGTAAGTAAAGTAAAGTAAAGTAAAGTAAAGTAAAGTAAAGTAAAGTAAAGTAAAGTAAAGTAAAGTAAAGTGAAGTGAAGTGAAGTGAAGTGAAGTGAAGTGAAGTGAAGTGAAGTGAAGTAAAGTAAAGTAAAGCAAAGTAAAGCAAAGTAACAACTTTATTAATGTGTCAATGTATTTAGTTTTCACAACTAATTGGGGACACTAACGAGCCCCAGCTCGAAATATGAGCATTGGCGTTGTTGCGTAACATTCGAAGTATAAGGATTTGAATGGGGAAAAAACCTATCGTTTCCGTAACCTACAAAAATGAAAGGATTTAAATAAAAACAGCTTACCTTACTTAAAATGTTTGTTACGTATCTCCTGTGTAAACCACGGGTCTTATAAGAGAGAAAACCGTTTACATAAAAACCCGTAAAACGGCCATAAATCGACCCGTGGACTACATAGGAGAGACGTAACACAAATTTTAAGTAAGGTAAGCTGTGCAGAGACGATAGGTTTTTTCCCCATACAAATCCTTACATTTCGAGTGTTACGCAACAACGCCGATGCTCGCCGATGCTCATATTTCGAGCTGGGGCTACCTGTGGTTTACTACACAGAATAACAAACTCTTACTTTTATCAAAAACTTTCGATTGCGCCAACATTAGCTTGCGTTTGGATAAGACGATTTCAATTAAAATTATTTTGTTAATGACTGCAATGAATGATTTATTGTACCCGAAATGGCTATTCGGTATTTGTCACCTTTTCGGATAGAAAATGCCTGATAAAACATTTCTTATCCGCGCCGCTCAGTTTTTTGCTTCAGCAAACGAAAATCTTCTCAAACAATCGCCAATTTTATCCGATTACTTTCTTCAGCAAGGCCAATAGCGAACCATCAGCGACAACATTTAATAGTTGAAAATGGTAGTTTGGTTTACTGATTTTTTCGCGTGATTTACTGGTTAAGTATATTCAGTATATTGCCAGTGACGGTGCCTACAAAGAAAAAACAAAAATGCCTGTCTCATCAGCTTATATTTTATCATAAGAAATGGGAGACAGTATAGCCGGATCATAGCGTTATGAAAAATTTTCACTACACCTATGCGCAAAACGCAATGGGTACAAAGCTTATGCTTGTACACCGGAAACTGATAATTGCGCGCAGACAGCACCATGATACTGAGAGAGCCTTTGTCCGCCTCAGCCGCAAATTTAAAGTATCTATTATATTTCAAATATATAACTAGTTGGGAAAAGCATATGCTCAAAAGCATAGGAAGTTAGTCCAAAAGTGCCTCAAGACATGAAAAATATTGGATTTTTTTTTAGCAAACAACAGTTCACCGCTTTTGTTGTACTTCAGGAATGAATATTGTATTTAAATTACAAATTTCAGTTCTACAGGAGAACACAACCAGTTTGTAACAAGTTGGCGCAAGGCTTTGACGTATAAAGAACGGTTAAAAACTATTTTTAATAAAGTGTTAACTTCTCCAAAGTAAAAGCAGTTGCTAAAAGACTATGCTAGACGGCATAGAATGCCAGGCTGTAGGTTATAGCATAGAAACACAGGTTTGTTTTCTAAAACTCAAGAAGAATATATTTAGCGTCATTAATGTAATTCAGTAGCAAGTAAAAACAATGGGTACAAGGTTATGCTAGTAAGCATGTGAAGTGGATGACGGCAGGTATTTGTTTTCCTTCTATCTTAAAATCTATTATATTAAAATGCGCCAAATGTAAACCAGTAAGGAAAAGCATATGCTCTAAAGCATAGGAAGTCAGTCGACAAGTGCCTCAAGGCATGAAAAACATTGCATTTTTTGTACCATTAACAACAGTTCCACCAAAATAGAACTAGTAATACGTCCAAAAAACGCTCTTGATTGCTTCAGGAATGAATATCGTATTTAAATTAATCAGAAATTTCAGTTCTATAGCATAGTAATAAAAAGTTGGGGCAAAGTTTAAAAACTATTTTCAATTAAATTCGCCAAAGTGAAAGCAGTCGCTAACTGACACTATACTCGACGGGCATAGGAAATGTCTGCATGACTGCAGATCACAGCGTAACAACTCATGTTTGTTCTCTAAAAATCAAGAAAACTATTTTTAGCGTTATTTATATAATTCAGTAGCAAAGTAAAAACAATTGGTACAAGGTTATGCTGGTAAGCATATGAAGTGGATGACGGCAGGTATTTGTTTTCCTTCTATCTTTAAAATCTATTATATTAAAATGCGCCAAATGTAAACCAGTAAGGAAAAGCATATGCTCTAAAGCATAGGAAGTCAGTCGACAAGTGCCTCAAGACATGAAAAACATTGCATTTTTTGTACCATTAACAACAGTTCCACCAAAATAGAACTAGTAATACGTCCAAAAAACGCTCTTGATTGCTTCAGGAATGAATATTGTATTTAAATTAATCACAAATTTCAGTTCTATAGCATAGTAATAAAAAGTTGGGGCAAAGTTGAAAAACTATTTTCAATTAAATTCGCCAAAGTGAAAGCAGTCGCTAACTGACACTATACTCGACGGGCATAGGAAATGTCCGCATGACTGCAGATCACAGCGTAACAACTCATGTTTGTTCTCTAAAAATCAAGAAAACTATTTTTAGCGTTATTTATATAATTCAGTAGCAAAGTAAAAACAATTAGTACAAGGTTATGCTGGTAAACATAGGAAGTAGTTGACGACAAGTATTTTGTTTTTTTAAACTCAAAACTATAATTCTTTAATCGGGTCAATTGCACAAGAATAAAACCAGTTAGTAAAGAGATATTGGTCCAAAGCATAGTTTGTTAGTTAGTCTAATATTAGTCTTACTACTGAAACAACGAAGTTGAAGATCGAAGAGTGCAAGAATGTCGAATCATAATCAACTTGACCTCCGCAGGATTCTAATGAACCGTAAATCAAACATTGCGGTGTTTAAATAATTACTTAAAGGTCATAAGGACAGCTTAATTTTTTAATTTTGAGTGTTTTTGAAAATTGAGTGTGCGTGATGTTTGTGCCAACTTTCCGCTATAAAGGGAGCTACACTTTTGCTGCCAAATCAGTAGGCAATACTTTTGGTTTCTTGCTACAACCACCGTAAAGTAGTAATCCGAGGGACTGAAGTCTATTATACTCAAAGTCGCTGCTGTTAGAAAAGGTAAGCAAAGCTGGAATTATCTACACAAACATTAAAAACCATTACTTTACGTAAAAAGAGATTTGTCCCTTACGTTTCTGAGAATTTTTTTCTTAACTCTATCCAGATTTCGTAATTATTTAGTTCAGTCTATAATTTTAAAATGCTTTTACTCAAGATTGAAAATTAAACCACCTCATATCTTTAATGATAATTAAACCTTTTTATCGATTTTTACAACCATATCGGACAATTGCACTCAAAAGTAAGAAGTCAAAAAGTAATAAACTATTTTTTATTTCTCACGTTAATAAGTGAAAAAATGACTCGGTAGCACCGTTCTGTTTGAGTTTGCTTGTCAGCTTCTTCATCTTTGTCAGCTGCTTTGTTTCTCCTTAGATTCAGAAAAAACCGATTCAGTGTGTACAAACGGAGCCAAAGGTTCTCGGAGTTCGGGAATTTCATTTTTAATGGAAATCGTACCATTATTGGCGGAACCCTCAGGAACGAAACCTACTGAATCATATATGCACTGCTATGAAATTCAATTTTAAGGCCAGCGTTAACAATATTATTGTTATGCGAAATCATAATTTGAGAGACCTTGTGCAGGCCCTCAAGTGTCAAGCGTTTCATAATTACGACGTAGAGACAGCGGACTAAATGTTCTAGTTTTGTTTATATTATTACAGGTTTAAAGACGATCTTCATAATGGAATACATCAAGCCTATCTTCCTTCTGTTGTTCGTTTTGGGGATTGTTGCTGCTGTATCGTCTCAGCATGCGCGGCGAAACATTATCCTCTAGAGGACGCTGGAAACCAGGATGAATCTTCTTTAGTCAAAGAGGTAAAAATAAAATAACACTCATATATTTGCTATTAAACAATTAAATCTAGCACAATCAGTTTAACTACATTTACCTGTTATTAAAGTGCAGGGAATGAATGTGACTGTGAAATAATGGGAATAACTAAGTTATTACTTTTAAACATGGACTCAGAGTTTAATTGCCGGCGGTGTACAACTGGGGAAGCATTTGAAATCCTACCGAAGATAGGCAAAGTTTGTAATCCTTAACAGCGCTTTCGTCCTGCCTTAGGACTCCCTATAATGTGGAATCTTATACGCAGTCGCTCGGATTCTAACGAAAATGCGTAGTTTGTGAAAAATTGTCTGTTTATAATCGCCGACGCGTTTCCCAATTTAAAAATTTCCTAACGACAAATGCCTTTCTAGTGCAGAAGGGCTCTGTCTTGTCAGGAATCGTAAATGATAAAAGCATAAAAATTGCTTTCATATTGCATTATTGGG